CCCCGGCGCGGGCGCGCGGGCGGCGGGCGTGCGGCGAGGCCTTCCTGGCTCCCGGGAAACTCCGCTCCGCTCCCGCTGAAGGCCACGCGGCAGCCACGATCGTTAGAAGCACACCCCCTTCGTGTCCCCGTTTCCCGGGAAGGGAACGCAGGCGCCCCGGGTCCAGGGAGCCCGCATTTCTCCGCCCGTGGGAGGCCACGCGGCCCGAGCCCGATCACGCGGCCCGAGCCCGATCACGCGGCCCGAGCCCGGGCACGCTGCAGCCCGCAGCCACAGACGCCATCCGTACAGCAGCGGAGCCCGGAAAGGCGGTGCCACCGCCCCACAATGCTTTTCTCAGGCCGGAAGGACCCACTATGCGAGAGGCACGGGGGGAGGGAATGGACTGTACCATCGCAGCCGGGATCTCGGATGCCACCGTGTGGCAGGAGGGAGAAGTGCTTAACGAGGGGCGGTGGGGCGGGTTTCCCACAAGAAAGGATTTGTCCATGGAGGGTTCGCATCATGATCACCTTTGCAATTAAGTGGACAGTTCACTAGGCAAACAAAGAGATATAAAAAAGATCAAGTATGGACGTCCTAGCACCTCTCTGCCTGGGATGAAGAACATATGGGCAGTGCGGAACAGCCCAAAGGAAAGAAGCCCGGGTGTCCAGAGGGTCCACAGCGCTCCTGTCTCTGGCTGTGAAAGTCACGCTTTTTTAAAAACAAAAATTTTTTTTAAAAGACAAGTTCTCGCTATGCAGTTCAGGCTGGACTTGAACTGACTGTATTCTAGGCTGGCCTGGGACTCACGGCAAACTCCAGGTTCAGTTCTATAGGGAATGAAGTGTGACAGGGGCCGACAAGGTGCCTGACTGATGTTCTAGTTGGGCGATGAGGACACTAACATGGTAAAAACACGGATACTACAGTTCCACACAGTGCCAGAGCCAACAAGGACGCAAAAGAGGGTAAAATGATAGAAGTACAGTGAGAGCAATGAATGCAATTTTATTTCATTTTTTGTTTTTTGAGACAGGGTCTTGCTATGCAGTTCAGGCTGGCCTTGTACTCACCATGTAGCCTAAGCTGGCTTCGAACTAGCAGTGATCTCCTGCCTCAGCCTTGCAAGTGCTGGGATTACAGGCATGCGCCATCATGCCCAGCAAGAATGCAGTTTAAAACTTTCGAGCTATCACATTATAAAAAGTATGAATAGGTTATATTGATTTTAATATTAACCCACCATATGCTAAATATTATTACCTCAACATACAATCAATGTAAAATTGTTGAGATATTTAGCATTTTTAATCCTAATCCTCGTAAATCTTAAAAAGGTAGTGTGTATTTTAGAGCTCCAGTAAGTTTCCGGCGCATTTTGGGAGAGTGATGCCGGTGGAAGATCTGGAGGTGACCTGTGAGAAGAGTGCGTGGCTGTCACACAAGGCCTGTGGTGAGCGGCCGGCTGTGGTCTTCTGACTGTGCAGAGTGAGGCCTGGGGAGGCGCGAGTGCAGCTGCAGAGACAGACTGCGGTTGGTAACTGCGATTTTGTGCTAAATTTTTGGAGTTGATTAGTTATCACCATAGCAACAAAGCAGAAGTTGTTAATTGGCTTTTATTTTTGATAACTGTAACTGTGCTGTAACCCGGAAATCTTCTCCTAAATCCTCACAGGGATTCATTCAAAGTCCACAGTGTCAGCAGGGAGACAGAGAGGGAGAGAAGGAGGGCGAGAGAGAGAGAGAGAGAGAGAGAGAGAGAGAGAGAGAGAGAGAGAGAGAGGAAGAGAGAGAGGGAGAAAAGAAAAGGAACTTGCTTTTTATCAAGTTGTATACATTAAATATTTATAAGTTTTGTATCTCAATCATATCTCAATAAAGTTGTTTAAAAAAGAAGAAAAAGAAAGAAAAGCCAGCGTAGTGATGCACACTTGGCCGGCTATAGAGACTTAGCAAGATCCTGTCTCAAAATAAAAACAGTTTGAAAAGACGGGGGATGTAGCTCAGTGGTTCAGTTCCCGGTCCTGCAGACCTGTGGTCATCACTAAGGACTAGCTTGAGCGACAGCAGAACCACCTGGGGCCAGGGTCATACACAGGAACAGTGAATGTGTGAGGACCACAGGAGGCAAATAGTCCCAGACCTGCAGTAGGCAATCAGTGTAATGCCCGCGGAGAGAAGGTTTGGAGGAGGATGATACAGCACCCCCAAGGCTGTCATTTAAAGTCTTTCTAATTCATTTGTTCAGTTTGTGGTGCTGGGGCTTGAGCCCGTGGTCTTTGCATTGAGCTCTAGATTTTCAGTCCTTTTTGTTTTTTTAAATTTTAAATTTTGAGACAGAATTTCTCTGAGTCACAAAGTTGCCCCGGTTGGGGTCAAACTTGTTTTCCTCCTGCCTCAGCCTCCCAAAGTGCTGACTTACAGGTGTGTGCCACCAATACTGGCCTTAAAGAGGGGTCTACTGACTTGCCTGTAATATACATCAATACAAATGCTTTAAATATTGATATTAAATAATTTGTGGATTCTTTGGGGATTTTCTGCTTAAGCAATCATATTACGTGCAGAAGTGTTAATTCTTTCCACCTTTTTGTTAGTTTTTTTGGCACAGAAGAAGAAACAAAGGGGGAAGAAGGCCTTTACTCAGGACCTGGAGGGGAGAGGGCTACACAGAGGAAGGAGCTGGGGGTTTATGAGGACCCTGGCTAGAGGCGGAGCTTGAGGGGCGGGCTCAGTGATGCGTTGGGAGCTGATTGGGGCTTCCCTCGCGGGCAGGAAGGGTAAGAGGAAGTTGTGTTCAGAGCCAGGCAGGAACCTATCACTTTTACTTCTGTCTGGCTGGCTGTTTGTGGATGCCTCAGTTATAACCTCGGGAACAACGTCAAACAAAGTGATAATAACAGACATCCTTGTCTTGCTCCTGATTTTAAAAGAATGTTTTTAAGATTTCAGCTTACACATCTGGCCTTTTTCTGCCCTTCCTAATGTGCAGTACGTTGGGGAAATGTCTTTATGTCTCTAATTTGCTAATTCTTATTCTTTTATCATAAATTAATGCTGAATTTTATTAAATTTTTTTTCTCTGACTCTCTGGAGGTGAACATGCTTTCTCTTGTAATTTATTAATGTGATGAGTTACATTAATAATTGTCTATTCCTTAATGAGTCTTGCAATTCTGAAAGAAACCACATTTGTCATTTCAAAAAGTAATCTGTTCAGAATTCTTGTAGTTATGTTTAAGGACAGGATGGAACTATAGTGATCTTTTTCATACCATCTTCACTATTAGAGTTATGTGTATATCTACCTAATAATTTGTTTCTGAAAATCAGATGTCTCATCCATAAACATTAACTGGGAGCCTATTTCCCTTCATTTTAAATGTTAAAGTTATACTGGGTTATTTGTTCAGGCAAACTAATCTCCCAAAGTATAACGAACATGCAGTAAATAAGCCTATATTGAAAAACAAACTCTAAGATGAGCACGTAACTTAGTATTTCCCCTTCCTGGTCACCAGTTAATATAGTTGTGAACAGATCGTTGCTTTGTTAGCAATGACATAATCTTTTATTGTAATGGCTTTTCTGGATGGCTTTGTTTCCTTTTCCGTAAAGCTCTATAACACTTTCTCAGTGCTTTTTGGGGTTCTTCTTATAAAAAACAAGGAAAAAGAAGGCCACTGTGGGAATATGACAGAAGCCATTGCACACTGAGGAAGCTACTGTAACGCTGCAGCAGCAGCCAGTGTGGACTGTCCCCTTTGTGCTGTCCCGTGTGCCTTTTGATGTGCAGACACAGGATGCTGGCGCTGATCAAAGTAACTCAAGGCATTTCCTACACTTTTAGGGGAGAAGGAAGTTGTTGAAAATATTGTGTAGAGCTATGGGGTCCTAAATGTAATTTTTTCTACTTCAATATCAGCTAAATACTGTTTTGAGGGTTACATCTGTTATACAGTGGTGATCCCCCTGCTTAAGCCTCCTGAGTGCTAGGATTACAGGTGTGTGCCAGCTCCTGGGAAGTGTTTTGCAGTGTCTCTAAACGTACTTTAGAAAGTCAGTTGGACTCTTCCTCTTTCTCTCTTTTCTGCAAACTTCTGTAAAATGTCAGAATTATTATTATTCTTGGTGCTGGGGATTGAACCAAGGGATTTGCCTGTGCTAAGTGAGCACTGTACCACTGAACTATACCCCCGGTCCACATTTTTTTTAATTAAGAAAGCGATCTTCTCTTTTAGCACTGTTTATATCTAGTATTTTCTTTGTGGGAAGGTTTTAAACTAATGATTCAATTTCTTATTAAATTATTCATGTTATTAGCTTATTAACTCCCTTATTAACTGTATTAATTAATTCTTATATATCTTAGTTACTTTCCTCATTGCTGAGACAAAATACCCAACACTACATCTTAAAGGAAGAGAGGTTTATTTGCAGTCCATGGCCGGCTGGCTCCAAGGCAGAAGCGCCCGGTCTAAAAGCTCGTGCAGAAGAAAGTTGCGCACATCATGGCAGCCAGGAAGCTGAGACAGAAGGGAGGAGCTGGGGAGAGGAGGGAGGTGTACCCTTCTACACCATGCTGCTAGTGACCCACTTCCAACCAGGCCTCATGCACTAAGAGCAAGTCAGCTAGGAATGTGTCAGTGGGTCGATACACTGGTGGGTATAGGATCCAATCACTCTGCCTCTGAGCACATGAGAATTTGGGGGAACATTCTAGATCCAAACCATACCAAAAAACCATAACAATATCCTTACTGACTTGATCTGCTCAAACTAGCAGTGATTCTGTGTTATAAAGCCTTCCATTATAGTTTTTCTACATATTTCTGTTACTTTTTGCTTTATATATTTTGAAATTATCTTATTAGTTGCATCCCTATTTATGCAATTGATGTATCTTTTG